ACAGGACTTTTCAACTGAGTCTAACTGGCTGCCAAAGGTTTTTCCATGTATCTCCACACACACATAGACACACACACTTTTTTTTAAAGAAAGCTATCATTTTAATTTTTTTAAAACTGCCTGATTCAACTGTTACTTAAAAAGAGCACTTAAAACTACCCAAGGGGATACTTCCCTTTTTCAACACATAATTTATACTTTAATTTCATTGTGATTAGTGTGTTCAGCACAACTTCTGTTCTTATTTTATAAATTTTAAAGTGATTTTTATCATGGCCTTCTGAATTTATTTTGATAAAGGCTTGATGATACTTGACAAAAAGTTGTATATGATTAGCAGGGTAAAACTTTGATACATATTTATTATACCACTCAAAATCTATTATTCAAATCTTTTATATTCTTCTTTTAAATTATTTATTTATTTTAAAAGATTTTATTTATTCATTTGACAGAGAAAGGGAAAGCACACAAGCAAGGGGAGCAGCAGAGGGAGAGGGAGAAGCAGGCCTCCCGCTGAGCAGAGAGCCCGATGTGGGACTCGATCCCAGGACCCTGTGATCATGCCCTGAGCTGAAGGCAGACGCTTAACCAACTGAGCCACCCAGGCATCCCCAAAAATTTATTTTAGAGAGAGGGTGCACGTGCGTGAGTGGGGGGAGGGAGTGAGGGAGAGAGAGCGAATCTCAAGCAGACTCCCTGCTGAGCACAGAGCCCGATGTGGGGGTCTTGATCCCATGACCCCCAAGATCATGACCTGAGCCAAAATCAAGAGTCAGGTGCTCAACTGACTGAGCCACCCAGGTGTCCCTCAAATCTTTTATATTATTTTTTTAAACTTTTATTTATTTATTTGACAGAGAGAGAGCACAAGCAGGGGGAGCGGCAGGCAGAGGGAGAAGCAGACTCCCCGCTGAGCAGGGAGCCCGATGTGGGGCTCGATCTCAGACCCTGGGATCATGACCTGAGCCGAAGGCAGACACTCAACGACTGAGCCACCCAGGCGCCCCAAATCTTTTATATTCTTAAATAATTTTTGTCTTCTTCATCTGTCACACACTTAGACATATTAATTTTTAAGTTCTAGTGGCTTTTGCCTTATCTTTTTAGTTGTTATGTTATATGGATCACAAGGGACCCAGAGTACTGTCTTCACTACTGATTGTCTTTCGTTTGTATTATTCATTGCTGTGTTGTAACCTCCCTCTTAGTAAGCTAAATGTGTTTCCAGATTAAGGCCGTCATAGGTACCAAGAGCAATAGAATTATTGAGGAGCAGGGGAACCAAAGAGCAAGAATCAAAAAATTAAATTAGAAATTATAATACTAACTTTAAAAATCAGTAGTGTTTCCTAAAAGCACTTCCAAATGCAAAGGCTATGTCATCAATATAGATGAACAATGTGGGTAATTCACAAAAAAGAATCATCCCAAACCAGCCCGTTTTGGATAACACCACTCTGAATCACTGTTAAAAAGCTCACAAATGTGCTCCACAGTGGCCCCTGTCTGCGGTGGCCCTGGCTGGAGACCACAGCAGATCAAGGCTCACAGAAGGGAAGAACAATTCAAGTTACTGAAACATACAACTGTGTATACTTTTATTTTCAAGAGTTGTTTCTATTTTTTTAATTAAGGCTTTTAACTTTAGCCAGAGGTAATGTCCCAGGAAAATATCTAATGAATTGAACCCTCTGATGTAAAATACAAAAATGTGTAACACTGAAAGATTTATAGAAAGCAAAACTTGTCTTACCTACGCCTTCTGAAATATATGATTACCCTAATACAGTATACTGTTCTGGGTAATATGATTTTTCTAATTATCCTTTTCTAAATTATGTATTTGGCTAACATCTGGATCACCTAATGGAGGTTTGTGTTTTAAATTACAATAAAATTTAAACTATGCCCTCAGCTATGTACACTTAGAAAAAAAAAGCATGAATGAATAAAATGTACCCAGATACATTCAAGAGTGTATTTTCAGCAATACTTTCCATCTTTTCCTGCCAAGTTCCTAACTTTTGCCCCCCTTCTGCAGAAGGTGGCTCTAAGCAAGAAACCTAACAAGCAGATAGGACAGGAAGCAGAGAGCTGGAAAAACCGAACAGGCGGTGTGATTATTCCTGAAAAAACACAATGGCATTCAGTTATGACTTTACGCAGATGTCAGCACCCTTTGAATGTTTCCAGAATCATGGTGTCACCCACACGGGGCCTTGTTCCTAACGCCACGTCGTATCTCTCATATTTCCGCCCGCACCTGCTGCGTGGGCTACCACACACAGACTGGCACTGCGGGAGGGTGGGCGCTCAGCCGGACGGCAGGTGCAAGCTCGTCCCAGCGCCTCACCACCCAGGCTTTGCACCCCGCAGTGAGGACTGGAAAGCCAGGACCCTGACTTAAGCTACTGCAGCGATTAGCTCTGGGCTTTTTCTGTCAGTCCACCCTCAGTGACAGTGGCCAGACTGGTGAGAATCTGAGTTGAGGTCTGGCTCCTGTCTATTTGATAGCTGACATCGACTGTGGTCTTGTGTTAAGGAGACTTATTTTAAGTCTCCCGCGAGCTAGCCTAACTCTATTTATTGTCAGCGCTAAGGAAACAAAGCCTATCACATGATTTGTATGGATATTTTAGGATAATGATGACATACACATTTGTTCATTAAGGTCCTGTACAAACTGGATATAAATCCCTTATGTGCATCTCCTCATTATAGTATAAATATAAATATTGGGGAAATGACATAAGAGTGTAGGTTTTTATGGGCACTTAATACTTTTCATCTATTTCTGTAAGTAGTATTATAAAGTTTAGTGTTATTAGCAAAAGAAGTATTGTCCGTTATAACACTTCATACATTCTGCATAGGTTAGACTTCTGATAGCGTTAGGTAACAGCCCAGGAAAACCAAACTTGGTTTTTCAAGAGATCTTTCAACTGGTGGGAAAGAGGTGGCCTTCACTAGGCTTGCTTATGTGCAGGGTTAATCATTAAGAAGACAGTAACATTTATTTAAAAGCAGCCCCAAAGACTCTTCATGCCTGCAGAAAAGTTCAAAGCCTATTTCTTTGGGAGAAAAATATATTTAGTAAGAGGCATTTCCTCTCTGCTCCCACACACCAGTGAATTGAAGTTGATGCGGAGTAAGGGTCACTTTCCATTCCACCGAGTTCTGTACTGTTTGAAATATTTCAATGAACATGTGCTTCTTTTGTAACTTTTACATCACTGGAATCAGAACAGTAACAGTGACAAAATGGCAGGAACGCAGCGCATTTTTCCTGCCTTCCTTCTTTGCACCTGCCAGGCGTGGGGGGCAGGGCACGGAAAGCAGGGCGGGGGCACTCTGCTGGTACGGGACCTCAGTTGGGCCCCTCACTGGTCATGTGAGCTTGGGTGAGTTACTTAACCTCGCTATCTTCAGTTTCCTCATTGCTAAAACTGAGGTCACCTTAGCACTCACCTCCAAAGGTTCTTGGGAGGATTAAATGGGTTCATATTCACAGGGCACTTAACACGCTACCCACAGAGAGCACCTGCCCCGCACGTCTTAGCTGTGGTTGGTTACCATTACCAGGATCACTGTAACAAGCAGGAGGCACAGAGCATGAGGTCAACGTCTGAATCCTGGCTCTAGCACATGCTTAACGTATGATCTTGGGAGAGTGACCTAACTCGGGAGTCCTCAGTTTTCTCATCTGTAAATTGGGAATAACTACCAATTTCATAGGGTTGCTGTGGGGGTTGAGTGGTGTATCTGTTGCACATGTATGAAGCCCTAAACACAGCACTTGGCATTTCCCAAGCACTCAGTAAGTGGCAGTGATTTTTATAATAAAAATTTCTGGAAACTGCGGGTTTTCTATATACTGTAGCAAAAAAGGAAAAAACAAGGAAACAAAAAGCCTCTTTCCAATGAGGCTGATTCTCCATGCCACGAGGCTCCAGATTCGTCAGCTGGTCTACTTAAAATATTCCCATAAACGCCACCTGTCATTTTAATATTTGAAGCACTAAGCCATTCACAGGTAGTGGTATTTGTTTATAATAAACACATTGGTTGGTGTTTTTAAACTGTGTGTGAATGTGGATGGCTGTCTCTGCCTTGGTCACTGCGGTGCTCCTGGTGCCCACAATGAATGGTGCCTCACACAGAGCAGGTACAAATGGTTTTTTCTTGAATGACACGAACAAAAGAACCTAGGAAAAATCTGAAGTGTCTTTTGCTTTGTTGAAGTTAGTGAATATTTTTGTATATAGAAAGCCCACTGAGTATGTTTTAGGTGCAGACCTGGGTTCTAGTCCTGGCTCCTCCCTGGGTGACCCTGGAGGACTCCCGGAAACTCACTGGGACCATTTCCTCTTCCTTCATCTTTCAGGTTCCTTGCAGCTCCAACATTCCCCTGTTCTAAGGAATTCTCTCCTGCACAGCCCTGAGTTTTAGAGCACTTGGCAGTGATCGATATTCAGCATTACCCCTCCTTTGGAATTGACTCTAAGGCAATCGAGTCATTTCGACCAGTCACATAAGGAAAAAGAACTGAAACAACCAAGTCTTACACTTCCATTGAGATGATTTCTGCTTAGTCTACTTCCACTGTCAACGCCCAGTCCCCTGCACTGGCTGGAACTGGGTGCCATGCCCCCGTGTGAGCCTACGAATATGGTTAGCGTACACATGACTTCAATGCAAAATCCACTGTGGAAACAACGAGAGAGAAACAGGACAAATGGAAAGTGTGAAGCACACATGGAAGGAGGGAGAGCTCTTGCCATGCACGCACTGAGAAGGCCAAGTGTGCACGACAGAAGGCGTCATGCTGCCGAGCCCGGAGGGTCGAGAGGGACAGCCCACGTCCAGCAACACTCCAGCGGACCCAGCAAACCTCGAGACGACTGTTTTCACAAACAAGCATACACCAAGCGCTGCCGGCTTTTCTCCACTTGCTCGGCGACTGTGGACTGAGCCCAGCAGCCCGAGGCCAGACCCACCTTGCAGTGTGTGGTGCTGACAGGAAGCCCGACGTTGGAGGCGATCACCACTGTGAACGCAGAGGCCAGCTCAATGGTGAAGCCGCTGCGGGAGGGGGCACAAGACACACATCACAGGCGCTCTTTGTATCAGCCTCACTAGCACCCCAGGGGTGCCAGAGTCTCACCAGAACATTCTTTGGGTCGATTGTTGGGCTGCTGACGGGGCCAGATGACATTAGCAGAAAAGAAACTGCTGCATAATGACAACAATTCACACTAAGACTGTGCATGATACTGTTTCCAGCCCTAAATAGCCTTCTTTTTCTGATATGTTTTCCAAAAGCACACACTGTCGTAACTGGGTCAGAAATTCCTGCTGTGTAAAAAACGCTAAATTAGTCATTTCTAAAGTGGCAGAGGAAAAAAAAAAACATTCTCCCATTTTTAAAATGTGTACTTCTTGCAAAAAAAGTGAATTTTTCCCTCAGATTGCTCATTTTTCTTCAAATCCATCTTATAAAAGAATCGTTCATTACAGTGGGTTTCAAGGGGGGAAAAGACTTCCTTATAATAGGTGGTTCCAAGTTTAGTTGTATTCTCAAAGTTCTCCTGTCAGTTTGTACTTAACCCTGAATATACGTGGAGAATACACAACAGAAGGACCACGGAGAGACCATGTGGGAGGACAGCGGGGCACCGTTCCCCATCTGCTGAGCCCCAGGAAGCTTGCACAAGCTAACCTCCAAGGGTGGCAGCCGAGAGCTGCTTCCATCCAGCAGGTGAAGCTGGTGTGGTGGAGAATTTTCTGGAAATGCAGACCCTGGGCCCACTTGCCCTCTGGGCCTCCTGTGGGGTAAGACTCCTGGGAGGCTGGACCAGGGTTTCTTTTCCCCTTCCCTCCTGCTCTGCTTCAGCTTCTCTTCCTCCTAAACTTCCAGCCTCTCACTTTCCCTCGCTTGGTGCCACCGTGGATGGGCTGGGTGCACGGGCCGGAGGGCGGCGACGGGCGGCAAGCCCTGTCCCCACTGGGCCCCCAGCGGCCCGGAGGCTGTGCTGAGGGCATGGGGGCAGAGGGGCAGCCGGGTTCTGCAGCAGGCCTGGGAGGACAGCCTTGCCCCTCTGGCAGGTGCTTTGGCTTACCTCGATGGCGTGATGGGCGTGAGGTCCTTCCCCATGGTCTGGATCACTCTTCTCCCCCAGACCCAGAGACCGGTGCAGATGCCGACTCCTCCATAAAACAACAGCCAGACGGGGGTCGCTGCTTCTTGCAGGACTGCGCCTTGCTCATAAATCAGCCACAAGGCTACCAGGGGACCGATGGCGTTACTGGGAGGGAAAAAGAGATGGTGACACAGACACGGTCTGCACGCACACGAGGTCCCGTGCACAGTGGGCGGCAGCTTCCCAGGCTTGAGGAGAGCCCATCGGCCTGTATTTGTGGATGGCCCACATAATCGAAATGATTAATTTGTCTTATTGAGGTGAAAAACCCCATCAAATGTACTACCTTCACCATTTCTAAGTGTACGGTTCAGTAGTGTTCAGCAGTTCACAGTGTTGTGAAACAGATCTCTAGGACATTCTCACCTTGGAAGTCTGGAACTTTACACCCACGGAACAGTAAGTCCCTCTGCCCTGACCCCCTGCCGCAGCTCATCGCCACCGTACTTTCTGTTTCCACGGATTTGACTACTCTAGGTACTTCACAGAAGCAGGATGACTCAGTATTCGTCTCTGTGTGACGGGCTTATTACTTCACTCTGCATCATGTCCTCGGGGTTCATCCATGTGGGAGCACGAGTGGGAATTTCCTCCCTCTGCAAGGCTGGACACCCCCCGGATGCACAGCTCACATCTTCATCTGCCCCCTGGCCGCCGGGAGTAATGTGCAGGGAACACGGGTGTACAAGTACCCCTTCAGGACCCTGCCTGCACTTCTCCCGGGTACACACTCAGAAGGAAGACTGCGGGGTCACACAGCGGTTCTATTTTTCGTATTCTGAGGAGCCTCCAGACCGTTTTCCACAGCAGCTGGGCCAGTCTCCATGCCCACCAACAGCGCATGAGCCTCCCATTTCTCCACACCCTCGCCGACACTTGTCATTGTGGGTTTTTTTACAGGAGGCCCCTTAATGGGTGTGTGCCTTCTTAATTTTTTAAAGAAGTACTGAAATATCACGACAAGTGGACACAGACACCCAGTTCTGTTTTCCTCTTCTATTCTTTTCTCTATTTGCATTTTCACGACTAGCATTGCTCCTACTACTAGCTAGCAGTCAGGGCGGCTGTGTCAGCTCCCACACGACAGGCCACAGACACAGTCTCTAACCGTTGGTTCTCACACCCACCGTGCCCCCCAGCTATTGATGCTCCCATTTTACTGATGAGGAAGCGGATGCCAAAGTCCTGTCACCAGCAGGCGGCAGCACTCAGGTGCTTACGCCCTTTCCCCTCAACCCGCTACTGTCACTCAGGCCCTTGGCAGGCACATGCGGACTGTTTTGGAGGATGCCACAGGTTTGGTTTGGGTTTTAAGATAGGCTCCATGCCCAGAGTGGAGCCCAACGCGGGGCTTGAACTCACGACTCTGAGATCAAGACCTAAGCTAGGACCAAGAGTTGAATGCTAAGCCGACTGAGCCACCCATGCGCCCCATTCTTTGGTGAGGTGTCCGGTAAGGTGTTCGGCCCATTTTTAAAATTGGGTTGTTTTCTTATTGTTGAGTTTTAAGAGTTCTTTGTATATTACTATTTTAGCAGATATCTCTTTTGCAAATATTTTCTCTGTTTCCGGCTTCTCTTTTCTCACGACACTGTCCTCCACCATGCAGAAGTTTCTAATTTTAATAAAGTCCAGTTTATCTAGTATTTCCTTTATGGACTGTGCCCTTGATGTTGTATCTAAAGAGTCATTTCCATACCCATGGTCATCTAGGTTTTCTCCTGTGTTATCCCACTAGAGTCTCATAGTTTTTCTCTTTACGTTTAGGTTTGCAATCCATTTTGAGTTACTTTCTCTGAAGGGTGTAAGGTCTGTGTCCAGATTCATTTTTTTGCACATGGATGTCTAGTTGTTCCGGCACCATTTGTTGAGAAGACTCTCTCTGCTCTGATCTATCTCCTTTGCTCCTTTGTCAAAAATCAGTTGACTATATTTATGGGAATCTATTTCTTTTTTTAAAAAAGATTTTATTTATTAATTTGAGAGAGAGAGAGTGCATACATGAATAGGAGGCAGAGGGAGAAGCAGGCCCCCTGCAGAGCAGGGAGCCCGACGCAGAGCTCGATCCCAGGACCCTGGGATCATGACCTGAGATGAAGGCAGACGCTTAACGACTGAGCCACCCAGGCGCCCTACGGGGGTCTATTTCTGAGCTCTATTCCGTTTCACTGATTTATCTATTCTTTCGCCATGACCACACCGTCCTGATTACTGTGGCTATATTATAGTAAGTCTTGATGTTGGGTAGTATCAGTCCTTCAGTTTGTCCTGCTCCTTCAATACCGTGCTGGCTATTCAGGGTCTTTGTTTTTCCTTATAACTTTTACAATCAGTTTGTCGATATCCATAAAATAACTTGCTGGGATTTTGACTGGGATGTGTAATGAATTTATAAATCGAGATGGGAAGAACTGACATCTTGACAATATTGAGTCTTCCTATCCTTGAACATGGAAAATCTCTCCATTTAATTCTTTGATATTATTCATCAGTTTTGTAGTTTTCTGCATCTAGATCTTGTACATATTTTGTTAGATTTATACCTGTTTCATTATGTAAACAATATCCTGTTTTTAATTTCAAATGCCACCTGTTCATTACTGGTGTGTAGGAAAGCAACTGACTTGTACATTAACCTCATTCCTGCAACCTTGCTATAACTGCTTATTCGTTTCAGGAGTTGAGGAAGTTCCCCTTTATTCCAGTTTACTGAGAGTTTTTGTCATGAATTAAGTGGTAAATTTTGTTCAAGATTTTTCTGTCCCTATTGATATGATCATGTGATTTTTTTCTTTTTAGCCTATTGATGTGATAGATTACATTAACTGATTTTTGAATGTTGAACCAGCCTTGCATACCTGGGATAAATATCACTTGGTCATGGTGTTTCATTCTTTTTATACATTGCTGGATTGAATTTGCTGATATTCTGTTGAGGATTTGTACATTCATGTTTGTGATGATATTGATCTGTAGTTTTCTTTTATGTCAATGGCCTTGTAGAATAAGTTAGGGAGTATTCCTCTACTTCTATCCTCTCAAGGAGTCTGTAGAAAATTGGCACAATTTCTTCCTTAAATGTTTGGTAGAATTCACCAGTGAACCCATCTGGGCGTGGGGCTTTCTGTTCTGGAAGGTTATTAATTATCGATTTGATTTCTTAAATAGAGATAGGCCTCCTCAGATAGTCTATTTCTTCTTTCATGAGTTCTGGCAAATTGTGTCATTCAACGAATTAGTCTTTTTCATCTAGGCTATCAAATTTATGGGCAGAGTGGTTCAGAGTATTATCTTTTTAATGTCCATAGGATTTATAGTGAAGTCTGCTCTTTCATTTCTGATATTAGTAATTTGTATCCTCTCTTTTTCTTAGTTAGCCTGGCTAGAGGCTTCTCATCTTTATTAATCTATTCAAAGAATTAGCCTTTGGTTTCACTGATTTTCTCTTTTGATTTCCTGATTTCAAGTTCACTGATTCTTTTCTAATTCTTATTATTTCCTCTGCTTACTTTGGATTTAATTTTCTCCTCTTTTTCTAGTTTCCTTGGGTAGAAATTTAGATTACTGATTTTATATATTTATTCTTTTCCAATATATACATTCAGTGCTATAAATTTCTAAACACTGCTTTTGCTGCTTCCTAATTTTGATGTGTTTTCATTTTAATTTAGTTTAAAATATTTAAAAATTTCTCCTTTGATCCACGTGTTATTTAGAAGTTTAATCTCCTGGGCACCTGGGTGGCTCAGTCATTAAGCGTCTGCCTTTGGCTCAGGTCATGATCCCAGGATGGGATCAAGCTCTGCGTCGGGCTCCCTGCTCTGCAGGGGGCCTGCTTCTCCCTCTGTCCCCATAAAGAAGGGACACCTGGGTGGCTCAGTCAGTTAAGCGTCTGCCTTTGGCTCAGGTCATGATCCCAGGGTCCTGCGATCGAGCCCCACATCGGGCTCCCTGCTCAGAGGAAAGCCTGCTTCTCCCTCTCCCACTCCCCCTGTTTGTGTTCCCTCTCTCGCTGTGTCTCTCTCTGTTAAATAAATAAAATCTTAAAAAAAAAATAAAAAAGAAGTTTAATCTCCTTATATTCTTGGATCTTCTAATTATCTTTCTGTTATGGATTTCTAGTTTAATTCCATTATGCTCTGACAGCAGACACTATATTAGCTTTATTTTTTTAAAATGTGTTTAGGTGTGTTTTATGGTCCAAAATATAGCATGTCTTGCTGAATGTTCCCTATGAGCTTGAAAAGGATGTGAATTCTGCTATTAGAGGAAGCAGTCCACAGACGCCAGTTATATCCAGTTGACTTGATGGAGTTAGTGAATTCAACTGTGTCCTTACTGATTTTCTGCTTGCTGAATGTGTCTATTCTGTCTAAAATTAACATAGCGACCCCTGTTTTCCTTTCATTAGTATTAGCATGATATATTTTCCTCCTTCCATTTACTTTTAACCTGAATGTGTCTTTATATTTAAAGTGGATTTCTTATGGCAACATATACTTGGGTCTTGTTTTTCGATCCAGTCTGACAGTCTTTGTCTTTTAATAGGTGCATTTAAACCACTGACATTCAAAGTGATCACTGATATAGGAGGACTCATACCTACCGTATTTGTGACTCTTCTCTATTTGTTGGCCTTGTTCTTTCCTATTTTTGTCTTCCACTTTTTTTGCCTTTTAATTGAGCATTTTATATGATTTCATTTTCTCTCTTCTCTTATCATATTGATTATACTTTTTTAAAACTGTTTTTAGTTGTTGCCCTAGACTTTGCAATACATAGTTCTACAGCTAATCCATGTCTGCTTTCAAAAAAGACTATACCATTTCATAGACAGCATGAGTCCTTAAAATTAAAAAAATCCTCATTTTTCCCTCCCATCCCCTGTATCACAGCTGTCATTCATTTCACTTAATACAGGCATACATAACGACATATATATGCAAAATATATAATATAAATATAAAATATATAAATGTAAAATACATAAAATACATACATAGTTGATTCTCAACACTGTGGGGATTAGGACACTGACCCCCACACGGTCAAAACTCTGTGTATAATTTCTGACTCCACAAAAACCTTACTACTAATAGTACTATTGACTGGAAGTCTATGAGCACATATTTTGCATGTTATATGTATTATGTATTATATTTTTACAATAAAGTAAGCTAGAGAAAAGAAAATGTTAAGGAAATCATAAAGAAGGGACACCTGGGTGGCTCAGTCAGTTAAGCGTCTGCCTTCGGCTCAGGTCATGATCCCAGGGTCCTGGGATCGAGCCCCGCATCGGGCTCCCTGCTCAGCGGGGAGCCTGCTTCTCCCTCTCCCTCTGCCTGCCGCTCCCCCTGTTTGTGCTCTCTCTCTCTGACAAATAAATAAATAAAATCTTAAAAAAAATTATAAAGAAATGTATTTATAGTACAGAAAAAAACCTGCATGTAAGTGGATGCACAGTTCAAACCCATATTGTTCAAAGGTCAATTATATATACGTATACATATGCTACATGCATATACATATATAAAGCTGTGTGTATGCATATACAGGGGGGTGTGTATTTTAACTCAACTGTGGTCTGAGAGCAGACATTGTAATTATTTATATTCTTTTTAACTTGTTGAGATATGTTTATATATTAAACTATATTTAGGTAACTATGTATATATAATATATATTAGCATACATGATTGAATAATTGATACAGTTAGTATTATTTTGAACAAACTGTTATCTTTCAGATCAATTAAGAATAAGAAAAATAAGTATTTTTACCTTTACTTAATCCTTCCATGCTGTTCTTCCTTTCTTTATGTAGATCTGAGTTTCTGAGCTATATGATTTTTCTTCTCTCTAAAGAATTTCTCTTAACATTTCTCACAAGGCAAGGTATTTCTCTGGCAACAAATTCCCTCAATTTTTGTTCTTCTGAGAAAGTCTTTATTTCTCCTTCACTTCTGAAGAATAATTTCCCAGGGTACATAATTCTAGGTTGGTGGATTTTTTTCCCCCTCACAACTTTAAATATTTCACTCCACTCTCAATTGCATAGTTTCTGAGAAGATAGATGTAATTCTTATCTTTATTCCTCTATAAGTTTTTTCTTCCGGCTTCTTTCAGGAATTGTTCTTTTATCTTTGATTTTCTATAGTTTGAGAATGATATGCCTAGGTATAGTTTCTTGGGGGTATTTATCCCACTTGCTACTCTCTGAGCTTCCTGGACCTATGGGTGGGTTGGTGTCTACCACTGATTTAGGGAAATTCTCAGTCATTATTGTTTCAAATATTTCATCTGTTGCTTGCTCTCTGTCTTCTCCTTCTGGTAATCCCATTATGCATATGTTAACACCCCTGTAACTGTCCCACACTCCTTGGATATTTTATTCTGTTTCTTTCGGTCTTTGTTCTCTTTACTTTTTGGTTTTGGAGATTCCTGTTGACATATCCTCACGCTCAGAGATTCTTCATTCAGCCGTGTCCAGTGTCCTAGTAAGCCCATCAAAGGCATTCTTCATTTGTTACAGTGTCATCTCTAGTATTTCTTTCTGGTTCTTTCTTAGGGTTTCCATGCCTCTGCTTACATTGCCCATCTGTTCTGGCATGATGCCTCCTTTATCCATTAGAACCCTTAGCATATTGGTCATAGTTGTTTTAAATTCCCAATCTGATCATTCTAACATCCCTTGCCATGACTGGTTCTGATGCTTGCGCTCTCTTCCAATTGTGCATTCTGCCGTTTGGTATGTCCTATATTCTTTCTTGACAGGCAGACACGAGGTACCAGGTAAAACGAGTTGCTGTTAAGTAGGCCTGCGGTGATGTGGTGGAGAGGTATAGCAGGGCGGGGAAGGCTTTGCTAGTCCTGTGGTTAGATCTCAGTCTTTCCGTGAGGCTCTGCCTCTGGACTGCGAACTTCACAAGTATTTCTGTTTGTTTCTCCCCCTTCGTGTAGGACGGGATGGTTCACGTGGGCTAGGGTTTCCCTTCCTCTAGGTTAGGCTGTGATAATACCCCAGTGGGCTAGGCTCTGGTTAACTAGTTTCCCCTGAGGGCAGCTTGTTAAGAACACAGTGCTCTGGGTACGTCAAAATGGTTACTTTGCCTCTCCCCCGTGATGGAAGTAGGAGGGGATTGTTTTCTCTCATTTTCACGGAGAGGAGCGGGTAGAGCTCCTAGTAGAGGTAAAACTGACAATCTGGTGTGGGGGGCGGGGCTCTCCCTGGAGTCTTTACCCCTCACACTTGTCTCCATGGAGCCTCCAGGAATTCATCATTCCAGTTCAGGCTCTCCGGCCCAGCACTGGTCCCCACAGCACTTTCCACTCGCGAGTCTCCTCCACGACCCCCTATACTTCTCTGTCTCTCCCGTACTCGTCTTGGGGACAGCCATCCGCCCTGGGTCCTCCTCACTCTATGGATCCAAGACGGGTTGTTGATTTTCCCATCTGTCCACTTTTTCACTTGTTGTGAGGATGGAGCGACAACCTCCGAGCTCCTGCATGCGGAATCCCCCATAGGCCTTCGACGGCGGCTGTCTGCAGGTCCAGTCTCCCCTTCTCAGCCCGCTTGACGTCGTGCAGGCAGAGTGGAGGCTGAGGGTCACAAAGAGCTGCTGCTCGAGTCTGCTTCTCATTAGCTGTATGATCCTGGGTCAGAAACGTCACATTTCTGAGCTTCAGATTCCCTGTCTTTGAAGGATACCACTTATGGCCTCAAAGGACTGTTTTGAGATGGGTTAGAGTAAGTTACAAATGGTTCAGCACTGAAGCCTGGGGTAAAGGTAATAACCTATGGTTAAAGGAATAGAAGCCTCTCTTCACTGTCGTGTTACTTCCAGAACCTTGCTTTTATCCAACCATGTCTGTACTCAGAAGCTTCAAAACCAGCCCCTGCACTGCAAGCCATTGCCCGAGACTCCAGCCTCCTGAAGCAGTCCCCACCCGGACTCTCCCTGAGGCCTTGCGATACTGCTCTGGGGTGGTTCGGTACTCTTCCATGTATGGTCTTTTAATCTCCCCAGCTGGAATTTAAACTCCCAAAGAGCAGGGACCCAATTCAGAACACTTTACCAGTACCAGGGCTTCGGTGAACAATTTCTGATCAGGAGGAGGAGGAAGCAGGGTGGTGCTGGGGGTGGAGGGGGGGCAGTCAAGAAACTAAGATAGGACAGAACATGATGCCTCAAAAGCAATGACACAGGGACACCTACATAACAGTGAGTGGAACCCGAGATGTCCAGGCCTCTCGTCTGGGAGGACGACTTCTTTTAAAAGGAGCAGACACTGAACCGCACCTCGTTAGGCAGAGTCCGGAAAGCCACAGCTATAGAATGGACAGTCATAACATCTGTGCAGTAAGAACTATGACAGCAGCATGTTTTCCTGATTTGGAAAAAAACACTAGGCCTGATGATAATTATAGTAATAGTAATAAAGGAAATACATAGATACTGACTATGTGAGGAGCACCATCCCAAGCACATTAAATTCAGCATCTCAGTTAATCCTCCTGGAAACCCCATGAGGCTGATACTAGTTTCACCCCCATTTCATAGACTGGGACACTGAGGCTTTGGGAAACTACACGGCTTGTCTAGGGCTTCCCAGCTCGGAAGAAGAGAACAGAGACTCTTTACACATTGCAGGCCCCCACGGCCTGCTGACCTTACAGTCCACACTCTCTCCCTCCGTGGCCTCCTTGCTCTTCCTGCGGTACCCGAGGCCCGCTCCTGCCTCAGGCCTTTGCACCTGCTGTCCTGGGGCTGCTCTCCGACAGACGCTCACTCGGCTGGCTCCCGAGTCAGACCTCACCCAGCCAGCCCTAACTTGAGCGGCCTAGCCAACACCGCAGCCCCCCAGACGCCGCCACCCCCTTCCTACCTTACTCTCCCCTTTGCGCTTACACGGCCTAGCGCACCACTTACGCTACCGTCTGTCTCCGCCCCGCGGCAGGGGTCTCCGTGGGCTGTCCGCACGGCGCCCGGCCCGCAGGCGGCCCCTCCGCACATACTCGCTGAATGAGCGGATGACTTACCTCACGTCATTGCCACCATGAGCGAAGGATCCAAAACAGGCAGTGAGCACCTGCAGGAAATGGAACAGGAGGTGGACCTCGGCTGTGTCCTTCTCCTCCTTCTCGTCTTCTGCGGGGTCCTCTCGGGGCTGGTCAGGATCGCTCAGCTCAGAGGCCAGCTTCATTTCCACACCTCCCTCGTCGGCCTCGATCTCAGCTTCTGCGACCGCATTGCAGTAGCTCGAGTAGCTGTCGTAGCGGAGTCTCTTCTTGGAGTAGGACACGGCGTCAGCCACCAGCTTCTCGCTGTCCTCGGGGGCGGAGGACGAGTCGGCGGCCTTGAAGGTCGTGTGCACGGGCATCCCACAGATGGCGGCCGTGTAGCAGGTGTAGCTGTTGTTCCGGCGCAGCAGCCTGTAGTTGTTCTCCGGGGCGGGCCTGTCCTCGGGGCCCCTGTCCGTGTGCATTCTGTGCAGCAAGTCCTTGTAGAGCCCCGAGTCTTTGTGCACCGTGTGGTACACGTGCCCGTCGCTCCGCGTGTGGCCGTCAAAGCCGAAGGTACCGTTGGAGACAGGCGATTTTGCAGAGCCGTGAGTCATGGAAAGTGCCCTTCCTGAAAAGGGTGAACAAGAGTCTGATTTTCTAGCCTTTCGAATATAAACCGTTTCTGGAAGGAAATACTCCTCACTCCTCATGGTGGTTATCTCTGGAAATTAGGGTTATGGGGGATTTTCAATTTTTTCCACATGCTTTCTTTTACAAATTAACTATAGAGAACACGTAATATGGTTAAAATAAAAAAGGAAATTTGGAAACATACAAACTAGTAATATGGCGTTTGAAAATGATGCTATTTTTCTCTTCAAAAGTGTCTTCTAGAAATTACCACAGCACTCTTTCCTGTTTCTAGTAACCCAATAAAGGGAGAATCCTTATAAGGAACTTATCTTGGGGAAACTTCATACACGAGGGAAAAAATCCAGTTCACTGTGAGACAGATATTTTAGGTGCTCCTTAAAGGCCAATCATGACTGTCAGAGGCACTTATCTGTCAGATCAGTGGGGCAAAATCCATTTGCTTTCTTTGGGCCACGTTGGAGACCGCACCTACGGGAAGCGAAAGCAGGTGCCAGGGCCCCACCTTGCAGGGAGGCGGGGAGCTGCCCAGACAGGCTTGGCAGAGCCTGGTGCTTCGCCCATCATTCTCCACAAATGTTAGGAGACAAAAGAACACCCCCGCCGCAGGACAATCTCGATGTTTTCTGAGGTTTCTGTGATTCTACAGTAGGACGACCTCCTTGGTTCCAATTTCAGCTTTCTCTTTGTGTCTTCTGGGAGGAAGGCACACTTAGGGAGCTGGAAGGGCCAACCTCCGGCAGCTGGGTGACGGCACCCTGGAGGACGCGCGCGCAGCAGGCCGAGCCCAGCCGCATGGAGGCAGTGTGCGCAGGTGTGCGGGCCCCCCCATGAGACCAGAAATAGCTCTTGGAAGAAAATCACAGGCCCAGAGTGAGCCTGCTCTGTTGACTGCCTGGTCTCCTGAGACATCTTTAGCCTGGGTTCTCCCAAAACATGAAACTGGGGAGCGCTTTTGTGCATTAAGACCCAACCACCCATAGGCCGGCCTGGCTGGTGTCCCCCAGAACTGCCTTCTGCCAACTACGCAAACCCAAATCCTCTGCACACGTCTTACCGTAGGAGGCCCGGGGGTGGTTTCCCACTGACGTGCCTTCTGAGGTCCCAGCTGGCTCCCCTGCAGGCCCCGTGAGAGGGACAGTGCTGTCGTCATTGGCCTTGGCACCTGGCAGCTCTTTAAATACCGGGGAATCCGCTTCCTGAATTTTCCCGAGGCTTTCATCAGACACTCGCGATAAAGCGGCTTCTTTTTGTAATTTGCCTAAAGAAAATATAGTCATAAATGAAAATGGTGAAATAGAGTTCTTGTTATTAAAAAATGAATATTTATCTTTATACTTCAGTAGTTACTTTGGAAATGAAAAAAAATAGTTATAGCTAGATAGAAAAAATAAAGTGGAGAGTTCAATTATCCAGCAAACTTGAGCCAGAAAAATTCAGCTACTGAGGACAAGAGGGGGCTCAGGCCTCAGTTATCTCCTCCAAAACCAACAAATAGAGAGGCCTAGATCTGGTCCCCACGGTCCCTTCCAGGGCTTGCATTCTGTAATCCTACAACCATCTGGACTGGCCTTCTGTTTTCTTAAACTAACCTCAAAATCACTGAACTGTTTATCCTTTTTGTCTTCAGAGATATTACTTTTAGTCTGTTTGGTTTTCTTCTGTTCATTAAATTATTGGTCTCTGATTTCTTCAGGTCACCAAATCTTAGGAAACAAGTAAATCATCCTCCAAAAAGGAACAGAGAGATCCTACTTACTTTAAAAAACTCTTTACTTTCATAAGAGAGAACGGATTTTATTAAAAAAGCTGCTTGAAAGCTCTGTAGCATTCTTTTTAATCAGATCTGATAAGTGGTATGGCTGATTTAATGATCTTGCTACTTGTAAATTCTCCTGGGCAAATACCTAAGCTCTCACCTACAGAACTAAAATGCAAGTATTCTTCTCAGTTCCTCTGCTGGATACACTCACAGAATCTCCATCACCTCTCTCTATCTAGAGAGTCAGAAGAAACACACACACATCTTCCAAAATTACACTTCTGTTCTGTAGTACAGGGAACAAAGAAAGGTACACACAGATCTCCGACCACAAGGTGCTTATAATCAAAATGGGAGAAGTAATATTTGTAAAGATTACAATAATAATTAAGCAAAAATTGTTAACGCTTACATGATACAGGTTTCATTATTTTCTGCTTTATATTAATGAGCACACCGAGGTACAGAGAGATTAAGCCATTTGCCCAGAGTCACCCAGGTGGTAAAATGCAGGCAGTTTAGCTCTATGGTCCATGTCCTTAATCACTAGTGTGTACTTAAAACAACCGAACAAGAAACACATAGTGAAAATATCAAAATATGGCACTGGCAAAAAAAAAAAAGGGAAGCTAGAACGGGGAGCAATATCAGTTTCCTGCTGTCATATTAATAGCCTTAAGCTGGAAAGCAAAGATTTTATAGTCTATTTGACAAGAATGTTCAGACAGTAGGAAGTCTTTAAACATCAAAGCATTTAAGTAGGGGGTAAAATCAGGCCAGCGGCCTGTTTTAAGGGGCTCATCTTAGGCAAGGACTCTGTATGAACAGAGGAGGTGATATTTATTCTCAGCAGAGAGCAGGGAGCGGGGCTACATGAGGGAAGCAGCAGCAGCTAGTTATCAACCTGTTATTGATGTGGCTTTACACCATTTAGTCTGAAGTTGTATGTATTAATGTGCATCTTTTTAGTTTTTGTTTAAATTTATATGCAGTAAGTTGACTATGTGCCTATGTGTGTGTCTGTCCTGATTCTAAGAGGTGTCTAGATCCATGTAACCCCCCCACAATCAGGGTGCAGAGAGGTTCTATCACCTCCTAAAGCTCCCTGGGTAGTCAGACCCCTTGCCCAGCTCCTTGGCAACCACTGACCTGGTCTCTGTCCCTACAGTTTTGTCTGTTTCAGACTATCACATAAATGAAACCACAGAATTTGTGATTTTTATAAAAATTTTAGAAAGGGGAAAAAACTTTTGTTAGTGGGTGAAACAAAGAATTTTTAGATGTGACACCCAAAACACAATTTATAAAAAAAGTTGGTAAACCGCACTTCATCAAGATTAAAAACTATTGCTCTGTGAGAAACACTACTAAGGGAATGAAAAGACAAGATACAGATTAGGAGGAAGTATTTGCAAATCCTCTGACAAAGGACTTATATTCAGAACACAGAGAAATCTTCGAAAATAGTGCAGTTACAAAATGAGCAAAAAATTTGAACACACACTTCATCAGTAAAGCTATATAAATGGCAAATAAGTCCATGGAAAAGTACTCCACATTGTTAGTCATCACAGAAGTGCAAATTAAAATCACGAGATACCACTACACACCAATCTGAATGGCTCAAAAAAATATGGACAAATTTTATGCATTTTATTTTTTTCCCTAAAAGTCTTACCACTTTCTATTTTCATTTAAATCTATGATGCGCTTTGAGTTGTTTTTTTACAGGTGTGAGGCTTAGGTCGAGGTTCTTTTTTTTGCGTATAGATGTCCCAGTGTTCTAACACCACTTGTTGAAAGATGTCTCCTTCTCCATTGCAGTGCCTCTGTACTTTGTTGAAAAGTAATATGCTGTATTTGTGTGGGTCTATCTCTGGACTCTAGTCTGTTCTATTAATATGGGTTATCTATCTTTTCACTCATACCACACGGTCTGGTTGCTTTATATTAAGTCTAAGTCGAATAGTATGAATCCTCCAACTTGTTCTTTTTTAAAATTGTTTTTGGCTATTCTAGTTCCTTTACCTTTCCATATAGATTTTAAAAGTAACTTGTCTAAATCTACCACATATCTTGCTGGGATTTTAATTTAAAATGTATTAAATCTAGAGGGCAATTTGATAAGAACTGACATCGTAACTCCACTGGGTCTTCCAATTCATGAATATGGTATGTCTCCTCATTCGTTTTGCTCTTCTTTGAAATATGGGTTTTCAAAGTCAGACATGTCCACACTGAAACACAATTGTAAGGCACACTCTGAGGCCAAAAGTAAATACTTCTTTTCTTTTGAGAGCCCTATAAAAGCATGTGGCCTCGAGGCTTGGAATTATGTTGCTAGTGACAGAAAAACAACTCTGGCAACTTTCTGACCCATATTCTTCTTTTTAAAAAAATTGTTTATGTCGAGATGTAATTTATACATAATAAAATTCATACATTTTAAGTGTACAGGCAGATGACCTGTGATGAGTACACCCTAAAAACACTCCCCCAACTGGGATAGAGAACATTTTCATGTCCATGGAATGTTCCCATGTGCCCCTTTGCCATCAGTCTACTGAAACTCCCCACCATCTCCAGCACCCACTGGTTTCTATTGCTATAGATTAATTTTCCCTAGAATCATACAGTACGTACTCTTTTGTAGCTGGCTTCTTTTGCTCAAAACAACGTCTGTGCAATTCATTATGTTGTGGGTAGTTCATTCTCTTGAGTGCTAAGCAGGCTTCTACTGTATGAATATACCACAGTTTGGTCATCCTTTCACCTATTTAGGAACACTGGGGCTGTTTCTAGTTTCTGGCTATTAGGACAGAATGATTGCATACAAGTCTTGTTATGGATGTGTATATTCATTTTTCTTGGATAAATTCCTAGGAGTGGAATTACTGGGTCATGTGGTAAATGTATGCTTAACTTTACAGGAAACTTCTAATTTCCAAAGTGGTTGTGCCATTTTTCACCATAAATGCATGGAAAATTCTGTTATTCCACTTCTTCATCAACAGTTCAAAATACTAATTTATTCAGTTTTAGCCAATCCTGTGGGTGTGAACTAATATCTTATTATAGTGTTAATTTGCATTTCCCTGAAGACTACTGTTTTTCATTGGGCTGACAGAACCTGACCAAACAGTCAACTTCCAGTTATCCGAGGCAACCAGGACCTTACTGCTCACTCAAGTCACAAGTTACCAAGAACAAGTTTGAGCGGGAAAGCAGTCAGGAGCCAAGAGACAAGGATGGGGCATGTATCTCAGTGCTATGTTCTAGACTCATCCATGTTTTCAGTTTCCTGTGTTAGTAAGGGTGATTATGGATTATACCTGAGGCCCCAGGAACCAGGGATTTTGTAAATCAGAGGAATAAAAAAGCCCTTACCTGCTATTTTCCTCCGCATCCATGGACACACAAAGAGCCATACAAAAAGGGCAAAGAGCAGCGCAACACCAAAGGAGATGAGTGCTATTGCCCATATGGGAAGGGACAGGCCAAGCACTGGGAAGGAAGAAGGACAGTCGTGTTGTCAGTGGATTCTTTCTGAAAGGTCAAGCCTCATATCAACATACTTTACATTTCCTAAATCCAAAATGAATCACCTGGACTCTATATTTAATAAAACTCTTAACCAAAAAAATATGCTATAGTTTTGGGGGTAAGAAGATGTGTGTTTAAGACACACTACACCTTGTCAATATGTGGTTAAACTGAGTAGTAAGCCAACTATTAACATTTTACCAACGTGGCGCAGACAGTGTATTAAGTTGGAATAAAACCATTTACACATTATCTCAACAGCAAGATTCCAGAGTGGACAAGCACAGCCAAGAAGGGACTCTGCTGTCTTCCGCCCTGCCACCGGCCCCCTCCAGGGCAGCGAGAAGCTGAGGTCTGGAACCCTCACATCACACAGCTGCTGACTGCTGCCTGTTTGGGTTTCTGAGGAGTCAGCAGCTCTGCTTTAAATGGCCATGACACTCTGACCACATACACAAACCCTTTTAAAGTCAGCTTGGAAACAAAAGTTTTTTCAAAAGACATTGACCTTCGAACTTAACTCGTCTTTGAAGTGTCAACTCATGGAATTACAACATAGAAAATTTTTTCATTAAAATTCAATAATGCGCACTAAGTTGCAATTACATTAGCCAATAAAAAGGCAGAAGTGCATGTGGCTTAGGAACATCACATTTTCCTCGCACTGTACTGTCTCCAGAACTCGTCACTCTGCATTCTGTACATCTTCTGTCACTGGTGGCAACAGGCAACATTTCACCCGCATTCACAGGTTTTCAACTTAAACAAGCATGCTTGCACAGGAACGAGCAGACGCGTACAAGAATCCTTCCATGGCATTATTTGTAACAGTAAGAATATGCGAGACAACAAATACCTGCATCGTTATGGAAACGTGAAATAATTATAGGACAAAGTCATAAAAATGAGGTAGATCTCTATATACTGATAAGGAAGAGGCCCACAACCTAGTAAGTAAGAAAGGCTGCCTGGATGTATACCATGATCCAATTCATGTTTAAAAAAGAAAACCCCATATTTATACTATTACCATATGCACAAGTGTATAGAAAAAGTTCTAGAATGATACAATGGCTACTCCTGTAGAGAGACAGGAAATTGGAGGGGGTTTTCACTTCTCACTACATATACTTTTGTAATGTTAACTTGGACAACAAATGATAAGCATGTCACTTTTGTAAATTGTTGAACATGTTTTAAAAGTTTTAAAGGAATACACTATTTAAAACCTTGCTCGTTGCTCTTGGATTAAATAAATCTTTAATGATGCAGGCTTTGTTACACTGTTAACCATTTCAAACATACAAACCCACTCAAAGTTATTCAATTAAGGTATTATTAAACATTTCGGTAACTGTAAGAGGTAGAATGGGTAGTTAATACTGTAAGTGAGAGCCAGGATTAGCATATATAAATAGGAAAAACAAAAACCCAGAATCACCTAGCTTAATTATAGCTAAGGGGTCACTGGAGGGAGTATAGACACTCAGGAGCTAGACTATTCCAGTCCTAACGCTCACTCTAACATCAGAAAGCTGTGGACTCAGGTGGGGCTGTGCCCTGTTAGCTGGCAGCCCAGCCCCAGCTCAGGCTCTGCCCCTCAATCTGCCACCCGTAAAACCACTCGGGCTGCCCTTACTGCGCTGTGCCCGCGGGTCCCGGCTTCCTGCCTTCTGCTCTACAACTTCACGTCAGCGTCTTAATACATGTGATAAAAGATCACGCCAAAGCTGGTTCTTGCCAAACTGGGTAGTAACTGGTAATTACCAACATCAAACCGATCAGCTAAGAACAGTACCAATCACTCTTATAGCTTAAAAGTATTTTTTTTTTTTTTGAGGGAGAGAGAGAGAGATCATGGGCAGGAGGGGAAGGGTAGAGGGAGAAGCAGACTCCCTGCTGAGCAGGGAGCCCGATATAGGGCTTGATCCCAGGACCCCAGCAGACGCTTAACCAACTGAGCCACCCAGGCAGCCCAAGTATTTGGTTTTTGAAGAGGTTTCCTTTGTGCCTTCTGGTTTAGTTGTTGATAAAATTGTTAACTATGCCACTTGTAGCTTCATTGTGTGAATCTGATGTAAGAGAGGCAAGCCCTGGATGCTGTGGGAAGAGAAACAATCTCTTCATAGATTTTATGTATTATCTACCTCTCTATAATCTATCTAGCTATTTTAAATGAGTGAGCATGTTTGCTCTCGGGCACTATTTTTTTTCCATCTGTGCTGAGCACAGCCCACAACAAAAGCAGAGAAGGGCTGCTTTCTGTGTTCCTTCCAAGCCCACCTCCACGCTTTCTGCTGGTGTCTCGTGGGAATCCTGAGGTGTCAGGACCAACATCCAAAAAAGAGAAACTGAGGCTGGCTACAAGACTTTTGATCCTTGGCGTAGACAATAAGCCACAGCACCACCTGCCTTTGTAGCTGTATCATCACAATCTCTTTTGCCATCAGTTTGGCCTGTGAAGTGGCCAGAAAGCTCTGCAATCCCCCTAAGTCACAGGAAACTGGTAGGGAGAGTCGGGGGTGAACACATCACTGAGGGTGGAAGTGGGGCAGAGACAGTAAGAAAATCAAGGAAGAGAAAAACGGAAGGAATGCAGGAAGATGGGGAAAGTCACTGATAGAGCAGAGAGGAGCAGAATGGGGACAGAATTTGGATCTGACTAAATTATTCCAGCAATTTAGTAATGTATCAGGGCAGCAAATCAACACAAAGATTCACATGCAAACGACAGTTACATCACACAGCTGTGATTGGTACTGAATATATAAAATCGAGTTTCATGGATAACAAACAGTTAAGTACAAAAATTCAGTGTAGGGAGGCGCCTGGATGGCTCAGTCAGTTAAGTGTCCGCCTTTGGCTCAGGTCACAATCCCAGGGTCCTGGGATCAGGCCCCACATCAGGCTCCTTGCTCTGCAGGGAGCCTGCTTCTCCCTCCCCACTCCCCCTGCTTGTGTTCCCTCTCTCGCTGTGTCTCTCTCTGTCAAATAAATAAATAAATAAAATATTTAAAAGAAAAATTCAGTGTAGAAAGGCACTTAAATCAATGCACATCCAAGGCAAAACTTTTGACAAAACTCCTTTGCCTTGTCTTCCTGTGAGGATCTCAAACTGTTTTCCAATAATCATGAAACTTAAACTGGCAGTAAGACACGGGGCACCTCTTCACTCCATGGACACGGCGCGAACCGCTCCCTTCCCTGGTCCAGGAGTGGCCTCAGGAGCCCACACGGACGCCCACACGGACACCGGGGCTGCGAGGCCCAGCCCAGGCACTCGACAGCCGTGCAGCTCAAGCTCCTTCTAGTTTCTCAACAGCTAGGATGTGATGAACAGGGATGCAGCTCTAACCTCAAACATCTTTACAGTTCCATCCCAAATCCCCCCAAGATCAGAATATGCAGGAGACTCTTCAGAAACACTATCTTCTGGGTTCATTACTTTGTTATACTTCGTTTTCCACCTATGATGGCCATTATTAGAATCTATAGAATAAATACAACTCCTATAAAACCAACAGCATGTTAACTATATTACTTCCCTTATACCCCCACTCCTCAGCATCTCTCTAAAGCCTTTCTTCTTCTTCTCTAATTTTATATATAACATACGCTTATTATGAAAATATCAGTACAAAACCGTATGATGTACAAATATGAAAATTCCTCATCACTCTTCTTTCTTGAACCTACTTTCTAGAGAAACTCTGTTAACTATTTTGTGTGTCTCTTTCCAGGTATTTTCTAAATATAAACATACAGTGTAGAATGTTTTTGAGAATCTTTCTTTTTAAAAAAAATGAACAGATGTAGGATCATACTGTATATATTGTTCTGTGATTTCATTTCCCACATACAATACACTGTGGACATCTCTCCACAGTCACACACACACACCCCTTTACCTCATGTGCAGATGCTGATGCTGCTGGGCGGGGGACCACGCTTCAACTCGGAAGTTAAACACAACCACCAGAGGCATACTTAGCCTATCAGCTCTGACAGCTCAAAGAAGCATGCAGTGAATTTCGGCACTCACAAAACCAGGTCCCACACAACTGAAGACTTTTTCATTACAAATAAACCTCAGGCTTATATCCAATCCAAGTGAGCACTTTATTTCCTAAAGTTATTTTTGCTTCTTGCAAATTATTTTTTTAAGGACAAAAATGCAGAGACAGTTTTTTAAAGTGCTCAGGCTTTGAAGTAGAAGAATGACTTTTATTTGAGAAGTCATGTCAAATGCAAAGTAAAACAAATCAAACTCAGCCTAAGATATAAACAAGTTCAAAATAATTTAGAATGGAAGAGCAGAGGAAATCAAAACACAGCACTAGATCTCAACAGCCAACGAGCCCCACTGAAGTCATGTCCATGCGTAAAAATGCTATTTATCAAAAGTTCTTAAAGCTGAAACAGGGTAAGATTAATGCCGCTCCTCATTTATTAGAGAATTTCGTTCCTTCCTTTTACCTCTGAGGCACTTACATGTTGAATGGAAATGTTCTAAGGAAGGAAGGAAACTAGGAGGAATAAATTCCAGGCCAGCAGGAAGGCAGGCAGATTTTGAAAGGAGGATGACTGAGTCACTGTCGAAGGGACGCTTCCCAGCTGAGCCTTATCACCAAATACGACACCACTGTTATGAAGCAGAGCTCCCGTGTAAGGGAGGAGTAGACAAAGTCCGCTTTGAAGGGCAAAAGTTAACCTTTGTTTAAAGAAACAGAAGATCCGGACGCACCTACTGGATAGTCTACAAACATGCCCCAGGAACCAAAATATTAGCAAAGTGCTTTCTGCCTCAGTGGGGAAGCAAAATGACCTTCTTATCTTTCTTTCTCCTCTAGGTAACCTCCCCTGCCCCCGGAAAACTTCAAGTAAGAAGCTTTCCAAACCAACGTGTGTGGAAAAAATAAAAAGATAGGATGAGTCAGGATATACTGGCAACTTAAGGCGGAAAAGATGAGGCTACTTCTTATGATTGACAGTCACAAAATAGCCCTAGCACATATTACGAGTCACTCTGGGCCAGGCACCGTGTCTGCACCCTGCCTGCATCATCTCACATAGTATGGTGGCCCTTTCACGGAAGTCCTCCTGCTGTCCTCACTTTATCATGACGCACAGAGGCTCAGAGAGGTAGGATGTGATTTCCTGACAGCATGGCTGCCCAGTGTTAACTCCAACACTGGGACTATGGTCTGTGCTCTCAAATGAGGAATGATCTTTGAGATTCTTGTGCAGATGTTTCAATATCCCTAATTAAAGAGGTAGCTACCCTCTTTATACTACCTGTATATTAAATATATATGAACATAGAACCAGGCTTCTAAAATGTATTAGAAGCCCCCCCTTTTTTTGAGAGAGAGAGAAAGAGAGAGCAAGAGAGTGAGCTGGGGCAGGAGCAGAGGGAGAGAGAGAATCCTAAGCAGGCTCCATGCCCAGCGAGGCCACTGCGGGGCTCCCGTCTCACAACCCTGAGATCATGACCTGAGCCAAAATCAAGAGTTGGACGCTTAACCCACTGAGCCACCTGGGCGCTCCTATTAGAAGCCATTTGTAAAGAGAGTGAAAAGAAAGGAAAGAATGTATAAAGGCTGGTGTATTTTTAAGTAGGCTCCATGCCCAGCACTGTCATTCGTGGTGACAGGAGGGACCAGGAACGGTACGGCAGGTGTCCAACCCGCGCTGTGTCATGCGGCGGTGTAATGTCGTCATGCGGCGGTGTAATGTCATCACGCGGAACCCAGGGCCCGGGACTAGGATTCTCTACCTCCCTCGTTACGTGCGCTTGGAGACTCGGCCCCGCTGTGCTTCCCTTCCCGGTCTGCACGGCCAGTGTCCCAGAGGAGCTCCGGGGACCAAGAGGACTAACTCATGTGCAATTCAGCGCACTACAATTCAGCACTTCAGCACTCTTTATTTCTTACAACCTCCCTATGAAGTACTGATATTATCCTTAGTGTCTCATCCATCATATAGCTTCATTTTCTCTACAATATTTACTACTCCACTCAGAAGATTCTTTCAGCAAAACTGCAGCAAACGGGGAGGAAATAAGAAAGAAGAGATGGAAAAAAATTAGGCCAAGTATAGAAAAAGGCAAATTTTAATTAAAAGCACAGAGTTGACTTCTGACATTCAGAAGAACCACCAGGAGCAAGAAGAATAGAGGACAGAAAGAAACAAAATGCATAAATAAAAATAAATCATCCTGATTTATACCAACTCACATTTCCGGGACTTGGTACTACAAAGGCATTGGCAGCCTCCCCTGGGTCGCTGAAATCACTAAGCCGAGAGGTGGCCGCTGATACCCGCTGGGCTTTTCCGTCGGCTACCTGGTGCTCCGGGCGCCAATATAAAGTTAAGAACAAGACTCCGGAGGAGCGAGGAGATGGGAGGCTCACGGCAGCGCCGCGGTGGCTCTCTCCCTTCCTGGCGCGCCAGGGCCAGCCGAGCACCATGTGCATGCTTTGGGAGATTCAACTTGGTGGTGGTTGGTTAACTCTGTGGTGTGGAGCTGTGTTCTCCCCGCCTCCAATTTTCTTATATATTGAGAAGACAGTCTGTGACACACACCTTTCCTAGCCCATGAATTACAAAACCTCCAGGGCCACCAGGCTGCTGATATCTGAGGCTAGGTTTCCATCCCTCTCCGGCTCTCCTCGTCCCCATGGCCTTCAGCTTTGTGCTTTTTACTTAAGGCAGCTGTGACGCTCTACCCCCAGGCTCCCACCCAAAGTCTGGAGTCCTGACCATGAGCATTTAAACCCTGAAGATCAACATTTTGATTGCTGCAGGGAGGCCAAAGCAGAAAGTTATATAATGTTAACATTCATTCAGAAAGTTTCTTATTTGCAGTCCTGAAGTATACAAACATAATTATATATGTCTAATAAAATAAAATCTGAGAAACATGGCCTTGAGGACACTGAGTCTGAAGAATCAGTAAGGACATTCCCCCATTTTGGAAGAGGGCACTTCTCAACTGTGTTATGACGTGCTATTTAGGAGAAATTTTATCTTTTTGAACAGAAAGAGGGAGATTTTTGTCAAATATGGCCAATAACTGAATCTTAATCCATAAAGAACATTATCAAGAAGAAAAATAACACAAACTAACATATCTGCTGACTCCAGATATCCCCACAGAAATAGATATATTTGGGATCTCCCTGTAGGAGGCCACCACAAAGAGAAACAGAAGGAAGCCTCTCTACCAAAACATGTACAGAAGTATTTAATTAGAATGCTCACCCATACTGAAATGTTTGTCAACAGGAATACCATATATGTTTTTCTTTAGCCATCCAAAATGCAAAAGAAAACACCTTTTAACCCTGCCCGACCCTACCCCAAAGCCCCGAAGACCTTTTGTAAAAAGAACAAAAGCCATCAGAATGGGAAGAAGTAATTCTGAAAATAAAATCACCCACTAGTTTCAGCATCTTTAAAAAAGGGGGGGTAGCTTCTACTCACTGGATTCTTTGGTCAGACAAATGCCAGGGAGTTTGGCATTTGCGCCACGGGCCACATCAGAGCTTCCCCTGCGTGTCACCGATGTGTGGCCACTACTGTTCACGTGTGACCCTCCCCCCGCCCCCCCCCCCGCCCCAGACTCCTCTGCGGCTCAGTGGGGTGCATGGTGTTAGATCCTGTGCAGAAGAAGGCTGCTCCAGTTCGGTTACACAGCAGCGCAAACAGCAGAATGAGGATTTCAAGTTCTTTTTTCACTTGCAAGTCTGTTTGTTGCCTTTGTCCTTTACATACCTCTTGAGTATTTAAAACAAGGACATGCATTTACTACTCTTTTTCCTACTCCATAATGAGCATGAATGATGCTTTTTTTACTGTCAGCCAACAACAGTGCTGGCACCAAAGAAACCAATACTGTGAGGTCCAATGGTAATAATACGCCTTGCCTGCTGGATTTAAACTTCCAAGGAATTCTTACCTGGTGCTCCCGTGTACATGATGGAAAACACATTTATTGCTATTGTAGCAGCATAGAACACTGGGAGTGCCCGCAGGCCATTGGGAACAGGGTCCTCCTGTATGATAATGAGATAAAGCGGAAGGTCAGGATTCAGGAAGCCTCTGGAGCCAACACAGGCGAAATGACAGAAAACAGTTACGAGAAAGTCTTCCAAACAGTGGTGTGGCCAGAACAGCGGGCCGTGTCCCTGCCATGTGATCTGCTGCACATCAGCTTGGGCCGTGTCTCCTACACAAATACTGTTTCAAGGAGCACTCCTGTGGCCGGCAGACACGCTGGACTCACATGAGCTGATGTCAGATTTAGAAACAGAGAAGAACTGAGAGGTCAGGCCAGTCTTTGAGGACTGAAACCCAGAGCTCAACATCTACTTCAAAAACCCGTGGTGCTCACTACTCCAGCTAAGTTCAGGTTTGGCCCTGAAAATCCACTTGCAACCAATATTTTGAGACTTGGCCCTCAGAGGACGCTCCAAGAGAGCCAAGTGACTTAAACACCACAGCATGACTGTGAGATTTTACTTCACCCTATTACACAATACATTTTAGCTCTATTAAAATGTATAAAGCAAATATATTACCATGCGTTGTGATTTTTAAGATCTTTTCATAAAGTGTAGTATTTAACCTTCAGCTACTGAAAGTTAAAAAGAACTGTGGGTTCTTTGTCTAATAAAACATTTACCTGCAACTTTAGGCTTCTGGTACATTCCCTAAATCTAATAATTTAACAAGAGTGGTACTGCATATGTTTTACACTAAATAACATCTGAGAGAATATCTGAAATGGAAGGGTTTTTTTTTTTATAAATTTGTTATTTTTATTTTATTTTATTAAGATTATTTATTTATTTATTTGACAGACACACAGCGGGAGAGGGAACACAAGCAGGGGGAGTGGGAGAGGGAGAAGCAGGCTTGCTGCTGAGCAGGGAGCCCAATGTGGGGCTCGATCCCAGGACCCTGGGATCTGACCTGAGCCGGCAGATGCTTAACGACTGAGCTACCCAGGCGCCCCTGAAATGGAAGGTTTTAAGCAGATCTACAGAAGATCTTGAAGCAAAAATATGGACTGGGAGAATGCCTGGGTGGCTCAGTGGGTTAAGTGTCTGCCGTCAGCTCAGGTCATGATCCCAGGGTCCTGGGATCGAGTCCTGCATCGGGCTCCGTGCTCATCTGGGAGTCTGCTTCTCCCTCTCTCTCTGCTCCACCTGCTTGTGCACTCTCTCTGACAAATAAATAAATAAAATCTTAAAAAAAACATGGACTGGGAACTCAATACAGCCCTGGCACATTAGATGTCACTTAAATAATTCAAGAAAGGACTAATTTCTAATTACCGTGTAAGACCCCGGTATTTATATGACTGCCACCCACCCGTGATAAAAGGAAAATGAAATCACAACTGCCGTGGGCTACGGGAGTAAGGAGAAATAGAGACTAAGATTCCTACTATCAAATGCAAACATGTATGGAAATCAAGTGTGTCTGCAGAACAGTACAACCCATTAAGAACCTATTCCGGAATGTCTCAAGTAGCCATCGGCACTTGTCAAGAGGCTTGAGTTGAACGGTAATGAGGCAGAAGGACCAGTAAGAGCAGGGGTCACACGGGATTCAACTGCATGAGACTCATAGCCAGACCAGTGAACAGGAAGCAGCCGGGAGCCAGGGCTGGAGCCAGGGATGCGGTACAGTGCTCTTCTAATCTGCCATGTACCACGTGACAAGGACCCAGGCCCCACTACAAATGAAACGCTCGGGTGCTCAAATGCCTACTGCCCTGGTTTCCAAAATGTTTTCTCAGGACAAGAGTTGCTGAAGAAAGACTCCCACCGGAAACTTCTGAAGGTGTTGAATGCTGAGTTTATGGGTTTTTTAAATTGAATCACCTTATGTTTTCTCAAATAACTTATTCTTAAAACTCAAATGCCAATTGTCTCGAGACCTGTCTTCTCTCCTCCCTCCTGGCTCCCTCCCTCCCTTCTTTCCCTCTCTCCTTTCTTTCCTTCCTTCCATCTGTCCATCCAACATCTACCACCTATCTAAGCATCCATCATTCCCTCTTAAATACCAGTGTCTTCCCAAGCACAGCGCTGGGCACTAGAATACCAAAGTAAGCAAGACAGTCATGGTTCTACTCTCACAGATCTTATAGTCGATGGCAACCAGGCCAGCACGCAAGACATACAACACCACACAGCACCACAGTGCAATGATAAGAAAGCATGGAACGTTGCAGAAGCATGAGAGAGAGGGAAGCAACCAGAACTGGGTGGGAGAAGAAAGGCTTCAAGGAAGTGGCATGTGATGGCTGGGTAGCAGCAGGAGTCTGCCAGGTGAGGATGGGTTCCAGGCAGAGGAAGTCAGAAAAGTGAAGTCTAGCAGGCAAGAGAGGGTGGCACCTTCCAAGATGTAAATAAATATTAGTATGGAGAGAACCCAAGAGAAGGAACGTAGCTGTGTATGGATCCAAGAGAAGGAGCCCTCCAACAGACTGCTAGGCAGTGCCAAGGGGAAAGAGCGGCGTCTTCAAGTGAGGATCCACTTGAGGGAAGGCCTGTCCTGGATGTGCTCAGTGTGCGCTGTGACATAGGGACCCGGGGCCTGCTTTAGGGCGTATAAAATACTGCAACAACCCCTTGATGGTCAAAAAAATACAGTCAAGTTTTTTTCCTTAGAATAGGGATCTCAGTAAGTTCTAATTTCAATCTCCTTTCATTTTTTATAAAATCTACCCTCAATAGGTATATTTTCTTCTTTTTATCCTTTCCTCCGGGAGAGGAAAAAGTCAGTCTCTCAAGCTTGCTTTCTCCATTAAAATATAGAAAACACTTTATATTTGGGAAAAGAAATTTTCCAGCTGTGTTTAGTGATAGTCTACTTCAAAATCTTCACACTATCACACTCTGTTCTGCTTAACATTCAGGAAAGAATTACTTTTCCTTTTTTGAGGTCTGCGTGCAATGCCTGGGAGCACTGGCTCATGAACTAAATCACAGAGCACGGAACACTATTTACAATGCTGCTTTCTGGGGGAGCCCCTCGGTAGTCTACCTCGACTCATCCTGCCTACTTTATTTTTTTTAAAGATTTTATTTTTAAGTAATCTTTACACCCAATGCGGGGCTCGAACCCACAACCCTGAGATCAAGAGTGACATGCTCTACGGACTGAGCCAGCCAGACACCCCTTTTTGCCTACTTTAAAATAAAGTCTAATTCTAACTTGCAGGGTGATGTGCCTTAACATCGTAAAAATACAACCATTCCTCTGACTCCCTAACTATTAATTTCTATTGAATAGAACCAAATTAGTTCTAAAACTTAATAAAAACATAACAGCCTCACTTACCTTCTTTAGGATGAAAATTCTGATCAGTACGAACAGCACGCCAGACATGAAACCAGACAAGAGTGGAGATATAAACCAAGAAGCAACTGAATAATCAAAAAAAAAAAAAAAATCTAATGAACATTAAATTTCTACATAACTCGTCATATTTATACAATAGAATGATAACCAACACACAGTACATACATTAATAAATATTCCTGGAATTATTCACCTTGACGCAGGACCTAACCAGCTCCACTTCCCTGGCAGGGCTGACCACAGTCCCGAGTAAGTGAGTGCACTCCCAGCACACAATCCGGTAAGGGATCCTGGAGCCTGGCCTCAGAAAAACAGTCTCCTTTGATTCCCACTGAGCTCCTTCTGTCTGTTCTTCTTACCCATCCACATATGGAGACCTGGTCCTTGCTCCAACAGTAAAGCTATTTAAAAGGTGAGCCATCTTCCATTTTATTTTCCTAGGTCAGCCTGGTACTGCCATCCTGACACTGTGGCCCAGCAATTCTCATCTCTGGCTGCATACTGGAAACATCTGGGGAGTTTTCAAACACTAGTTATGCTCAGGTTCCACCCCGAGCATTTTGATTTAAAAGGTTTGGAATGGGGTTCTAGGCATTGGTATTTTTTAACTGCTTCTCCAGGTAATTCTCGAGTACAGCCAGAGTTGAGAGACATTGTTCTAGAAGCCTCCTGGGATCTAAGGTGATTTTCCTGGCCATCTATGTCCCTGGCTTGGTAGGTCAGGGATCTGTTTGACCTAGACCCCCAGAGGCCACTGTGATTCTTATATGGATGAGTAGCCCAGTGGATGGAGATGGGGCGAAAGAATGTTGTTCAGAATGGGTGGGTCTGTACTTATGGGGCTGAATGGATTTCCTCCCTCTTGGCTTTTAAGCCAGAGCCAGGAGGCAGACCATCAGACCTGTCAGACCCGTCCCTGCTGGGCAGCCTACAACCCAGAAGGAGCGCTAGATTGTCTCCTGTGTGGGGGCAGACTAGGAGACCTCTTGAATGCAGTGAAGTAAGTAAGCCTGGCCTCGCTCCCAGGCTTTGCCATGACCACGAACCCTGCCTCCTGGACACGGAAGGTATTTTCTTTACCAGGGCCTAGTTTTTCTGACTACAGACTGATTTCAATCAGATAAATTTCTTTTCTGTCTGGGAACAACAGATAGATACTGATTTTCCAAGCCAGATGACATTTGAAAAGAGTAGCATTAAAAAACTATTTAACACATAAAAGTTCACAGTCTCCATTAGCAGCAACTGTAGGGGAAAATGTATTACCCACATAGGTCTTGTTTTCTAAACCTTAACATTCGAAGGGAAAAATAGATTATAATGGTGACTTTTAATAAAACTTACTCTAGAGAATGTCAACTTTGCTTCTGACAGGTAAAAGAAAATGGCAATTACCAATCTTGACGAGCTCCATCCACTGCACACCTTGTGTACCAATTGCGACAAGTGAGAATCCTATAGTAGAACCAACAATGCAGTGGGTTCCTGAGATGGGAAGTCTCAGGAAGGATGCAATCAACTGCCAAACCGCTGAGCCTATCGGTTGAAAGATTTAAAAAAAAAAAAAAAGTCAGATATAGAATACAGTATCTCAAACAGCCACAAAAGGAAGAAATCCAAATTATTGCTCTCCGAAACAGTATCTCCCTAGGGTTGTTTTCTTATGGACTGTTTCTTTACGGAGTGCTAAAGTCCTGACAAAAATCACTCACCTAACTCTAGTCAACGGAACATTCTTCAACACTGAAGGGATAATGATGATTTATTGAAAATATTTAAAGGAAAGTCTCTTCATGCCAATTATTAACTGCCTCTGTCACATCTATGTACGGGTGCTGATGATGAACTTGTTCTGATGTGAAGTGTGGCCAAGACCAAGCAAGAGATTACAGATTCTAGTGAGCACAGCAAAGTAGGAAAGGCTGCACATTGGAAAAGATGTCACTGCAGTTAAGCCTATGGTCACGTAACGAGGAGGGCTGGACATTGGCGAACTCATATTAATTAGTCTGTAAGAGAGACTGTAATATGCAAACAGTGAATCATTACATCGTACCCCTGAAACTATTAATAGTGTTACATGTCAATGACACCTCAATAAAAAAAAGAGTGTGTAATTCCACATTGCTTTTTGCATTTGTGCCTCTCATATGAGAAGTCACTATGAAATTTAACCCACAGGTGGGCATCTGCTCTCAGCCCCTGCCCAGAATGCCAGCCATTTTCTTGGTATGCTTCCTCAAGTCTTCTAATTCTTACCAGTGAAGAGGATCCTTAGCTTTGGCTTTGTGTCCTTTTACCTCAATTTCACCTCCTTTTCCAGGCTTACTGTTTTTCTAGGCTACAGTTCACTCCAGATATTTTCATAAGCAGATCAAATTTTGCAGTGCGTATTAAAAGCATCAGCTGGGCGAGATCACTTTCAGAAACAGCTGCTGAAAAGCTCATACAGAACTGTAAGGGAACAAAGGGCTTGGCTGATAAGCAGGGCACGTTATTAATCCCAAATGTTAATTCTGGAAATCTGGTTGCTTGGCAGCAGCACTTCTAAGCAGATCCCTGGCATTTTCTTCAAAAATATCTGAGTTACAGAGGATCATTCCTGGCTGTACGGGCCCTAGTTTGGGCAGCAATGCTGACGACTGCTCGTGAGTGCTGGGCATGCCCACCTGTGAGCCAAACTGGGCTCTGACCCTGTCCGCGTCTACCCCTGAAGCATGTGTCGTGTGTCAGGAGGAGGAGTGGCCGGCCTCGTGCCGCTGAACTGGTGATAGGGTGCATGGCGGCTGCCAGGCCTCCCTGTGGACAATTCCTTAAGCCTTCACATTTAAGCCCTGAGCTCCCGAGTGACTGACTCGTTTGCGTTAAAAACAGAGCCAGAGTTGAGAGCACGTTACGTGGCACAAAACTATAACTTGAGAAAGAAACTCTATGATTTCTATTCTTACCAACTGAAAATAATCTAGTGATGTTCACAGAAGAGTATAAACTCACCCAGATGAATTGAGATCATGAGATTTTCTTTCCTGAAAGCTGCTCTCCCTTCTCTGGCTGACTTTATAACATAGGTCCTGGGGCAGCAGGGTTTGTAAGGAAAGGTCGGGAGGACAGGGCTGCCCGGCCAGGAAGGGGGCCAGTGGGCAGAAGGGGAGGGGCAGCAGAAAGGAGGGGAAGGCAGAGGCAGGTATTTGCAGGGCGCCTGGCAAAGCGAGAGTGCAAGGCCTCCTAAGCCTTGGGAATTTCTGAAGGCCAGTGGGATTACACTAGTATTAAGAAAAATAGTGGGGAAAAAAGTCAGAGATATTTTACCTTAAGATAATGATATCTTATAAAGAGGAAGGGATTAAGTACTGAATAAGGGTGTAAGACAAAACCTAGGTAAAGCCGGGGGAAGGTGGGCATCTCTGAGGCAACAATTCCTGGGAAGGTCGGGGGGTGGCCGTGCAAAGGTGCAGAGTTATGCTGGAAGCAGGCAGGCAGGGTGAGTGTGCTTGGCGCAGAGAAGGCTCAGCAGTTAGGGAGCTTTAAGGGGATGGGGCACTTCTTACTTTGGTTCAAGGAGACGGCTTGTTCATGCTATTGGGGGTATTTCCATGAGCAGATGGTGAGTTCTGAATTCTCGGTAGATTTTTGGAACCATTGGTGGTTTCATACTAAGTGGATTGACTATTGCTTTAGGGCTGAGCATAATGTTCAAAAAGGGACCTTGTTCTGTAAGTTTAGCAGGCACAAATAATTTCTTCCACCCAACCAACCCAAAGCTACCACCACTCTGTCAGAAAGCACAGAGACTCAAGGGCTTGGGGAGACATTTCTAAAGGAAAAAAAATAAAAAATAAAAGAACAGAATAGGACAGGGGGAGAAAAAGAGAGAAGAAATGGATACTGAATTTAAAAGAGGGAGAAGGGGAAAATTCAGGCATCGGAAAAGAATCAGCTTTGGTTTTGGCCAATAATAATTACACCACCACCTTAAATTAACAAAGCTCTCCTTTGCAAGGAACCCAATTCTAAAAATATAGGTAACTCACACAACTTCCCAACAAAATAGGCTTTGAGATTCATCTACCCATACACCAAGAGAAAAAAGAAAAAAAGAAAGACTAAAAGAAAGAAACCAAAGCAAACAAAATCAAGTTATTCAAGCAAAACCTCAAATTGCTTTGGTTAACCTAAATTCTAGTTGAGGTAAGTATTCTTCATTCTTTCAGTGAAGTTCTCCCTCCCAGGGGTGGGAGAACTGAAAAACTGGACAAGTCATACTGCCCACATGAAAAGTGAGCAGTGGGGGCGCCTGTGTGGGTCAGTCATTAAGTGTCTGCCTTCGGCTCAGGTCATGATCCCAGTGTCCTGGGATCGAGCCCCACATCGGGCTCCCTGCTCTGCGGGAAGCCTGCTTCTCCCTCTTTGACTCCCTCTGCTTGTGTTCCCTCTCTCGTTGTGTCTCTCTCTGTCAAATAAATAAATAAAATCTTAAAAAAAAAAAAAAGAAAGAAAGAAAAGTGAGCAATGACATGAAGCTCTTCACAAGGCTTTCAGTCTAAGCTGGGGCCTCCACGTGGCCTTGCTAACAAATCTCTTTAATAAACACAACCATTCCGGGGAGTCTGGGTGGTTCAGTCGGTTAAGCTGCTGCCTTCGGCTCAAGTCATGATCCCAGGGTCCTGGGATCGAGTCCTGCATCGGGCTCCCTGCTCAGGGGGAGTCTGCTTCTCCCTCTCCCTCTGCCTGCCACTCCCCCTGCTTGTGTTCTCTCTCACTCACTCTTTCAAATAAACAAATAAAATCTTTAAAAAAAAACAAAAAACCATTCCTCAGAAGTTTTATCCAATGAAAGGAGAAGCTGCTGTTAAGATTTAATTTTATAAATGCTTTTCTTTATTTTGCCCCTACTTTCAACATTTCTTGCCCATATCATCCTCCTGGAGAAATCTTAATTTCAGCTCACTATGATTATGTCTTAGATAACTATCATGATAACCAAGGGTGATCTTTACAAAGAACTGTCATTTTTCTAAGGCGAATTTCACTTTTATCTGAGTATGATGAGAAACAGATATCCAGTGAGGGTAAATAAGATTCAATCATTACAATGGCTGTTGGAATGAAAGCAGTCCTTACATCGTTAAAACACAAAATGTTGAGAAACAGAACTCCTTAGCATGTATTATCGGCGTCCTGTGCTTAGTAGTATTTAATACCTTAGTACATCGGTACTGGATATGGATCAAATGCCTCAACAACTTCTCAGACTAACTTGCTGTCGCAAAAAAGATGGTGGTCCACCTTTTTTGGGCAAATAACGTCCACATTCTGGGAGCTTTAGGGACACTAGTGACAGTAAAGAACTAGGGGCCTGTGGAATGTAGCTGTGTTCTTGGTATGCTAGCATCTTACCTCCTACTGCAGGACACTTCCTACAAAAGGATATGTCCTGTTGAAAGCAGAAGGTGGTAGGATTCCTCTCTAACCCTCTTCTCCCTTGCCAAATTACCCATATAGATCCGCTGTGTGCTGTGACGTCATCTCTACCCAGAGGCAAACAGACAAGAGTTCTGCCAGCTGCACTTAAGCATTCCTGCCTGCATCTTCTTTCTGGTGATAGCGACGGCAGGAAGGGCAGCGCCCCCATGGCGCTCCAAGCTGATGGTCAGCTTGGCCAATGGGGAAATCACACCGACTGGCTGGTCAGTCTGCTTGTTAACATGTTTCATTGCCCTCAACACTTCCCTCTCATCTAGACAACTCGAAACTACCAATATAAACAGGTGACACACAAATGGTCGTTTGGCCAGAAAACAAAACAAACATCATCCCAAATGGAGCTCTCAGATGTAGAATCAGAAAATCAAAACAAAAGCCAACAAAGGGATTATAAACAAGGTAGAAGACTAGAATTTCCTGAAACACGAGCACTTGAGATTGATTCGGTCAACTCAAAACCTTAAACTGAGAATACAAAACTTAATAAATACTGGTTTTCGGCGTCCACGTTTTCAAAACATTGCATCCTAACTGATGAATAATCTATGGAAAAACAGACATCAACTGTCAAGGATATCTCACAAGTCAACCTCACAAACACATTCACTGAGACAGGTTATTTCTTTAAGAACTCTCAAACCACTTTAAAATGATAGCTAGTCTACAAACATCTTTGTCTGTACTTTATAAAAAGTACTTTTAGCCAAATCTATTTTAACAACCAAGTTTGCTAAAAAATTGAGAAATGTTTGCTTGATATTTGAACACTAAAAAAAAAATCAAATTAAAATGCAGAAAGCAAAATAAGATGTAGTAAATATGGAACATCAAACCAGTTTTTGAAGTTAAAGGAAAAATTACACTTATGGACATGACAGAAACATTGTAGGGAAATAGGGCAGCGGACGCATTTCCCACTGATGTAAAGAATAAGGCTACTTACCAACCATTGCACTAACTTCCCCAGCCATTAGTGTTTCTACTGTCTCGTTGTATAGGTTCACATCAATGATACCTTTTCGAATGGTCTCTCCCACTTTGGCTCCCAGTAACACTGAGCCGGTTGTTTCAAATATTGAAGCCAAAATGCACGCCTGCCTCAAGGTCACCACGCCAGAGCCCACAGCAGTACCAAATGAATTGGCAACATCGTTTGCACCAACAGAAAACGCCAAGATAAAAGCTATGATAAAACCCAAAATGACCATCCACAAATACTCATCCATGGCCATTTTGGAAAGTGGGCTCCGGGTACTTTTCTTTTGCAGAAATATTTTAAATAAACAAAGCTTGAGGTTATAAACGTCGTAAGGCCGAGAGTTCTTGTAAACAGTGAGTTTGCTCTGGAAAGTGCTGGACAATGTTAGAGCCTGAACAAACTGCTAACTGCTGGTTTTCAAACTACTGTCAGTACAGTTCATTTGGTTGTGTTCAGTCAGCGGTAAAACACATTCCATATTTTTCCTCCCAATCTGGGAAAGCTGTGATGTCTCCTCCTGTAACAGAAAAGAAAACAAAAGAAATCAATTACCCTAAGCAACCTGTAACAATTTGTTCTTTCAGAAACAAGTGTTTTAAGCCTACTAATGGGATCTAACTTTGGCATGTGACAGATCTAACCATAAAGCAACTCAAGGAAGATTATAATTGGTTAATGGCCCCCCCATCCCCACCACCAAAAAAAGCTGGTCTCTAGAATGTCAGAGGTTGAAGTATGCTTTATAATTACAGTCTGACAATAAGCCTTAATAGGATATGACTTTTTGTCATCTGAAAAATACATTTGGTCATTATTTTCAGAGAGAAAAAATTGCTTTAAATGGGCAAAAGATAAAGAAATGAGAAATTCAGTTACAGAGTTTTTCAGATATGTGGAATGTGCCTAATTTCTTGGACCGATAACGAGCAAATATGATTCTGTGACACCACAGGGTGTGGCTAATGACCTGCCTGCACATTTACACACAAGGAATGAGCACTTTATGAGCATACCATGCAGGTGTCTGAAAGGAAGCTTACAGGTTCTAGTATAAAATGACTCCTCCAGAGGGTGACAAAGGTGGAAACTGAAGTCCTCAGGAGGAAGAGAGAAAGCTGCAGAATGAAACGATCCTACTGAAACACGATTCAGATCATGTCACTCTTCCATGCCTACCCATACCTCCCTCAGAGGAAAGGCCAGAGGCCTCACCATGGCTTGGAAGGCCCTCCAAGGTCTCCTGAGGGCCCCGCCCCAGCCCACTGTCCTCAGCTCCTATTGCCCCTTCCTTCACAGGCTCCTTCCTAGTCCTTGAAAACACCAAGCACTCTCACCTCTGGGCCTTTGCACCTGCTGATTCCTATGCCAGAAAAAATCTCCCTGACAGCTGTGTACCTACTCATGCTATTTAGGTCTCTGCTCAAATGTCACCATCAGAGAGGCCTTCCCTGACCTCCTGAAAGACCAGCTCCTCCCCCCATGCCATTATCCATCCCTCTCACCCTGTTTTTTGTCTGTTCTACTTATCACTGCATTCATTCATTCATTCATTCTTATCTGTCTCCTTTCAGGAGGGCACAGGGACTTTATTGGATTCACTGCTGTATCTCCAGGACATAGAATAGTGCCTGGCATGTGGGAAGCCCTAATCAATTTGTTGAATACATGAAAAAAGAGGCTATTAAACATGGAGAAAAGTCTTCTAAGATAAAGAGGCGATGTCCACAAAATTAATATATCCATGAAGTAAAAATGTCACTAAAAGCTTTGGAACTGTGGTATTCTATTACTATATAGTCAAGGTACCAAATCTGTATTTTTTTTTGGATGATATTAGGTGTGCAGAATGGTACTTATTAGCACAGTGTGGTTCTTCATAGAAGCTTATTGACCTGAACTGGATAAATTAGGCTCATATGTCATGTCATAGACAGTATAATGATCAATTAACATTAAGATTACTTAGGGGGAAAAAACAGGACACTAAATTTTATGTATATTGTGATCATGGTGATGTTCAAATCCATATAAAAAGACAGGTAGGTAACATACTAAAACCAGAACAGTGGCTAAGTGTGAATGATAGCGTAATAGATGATTTCTCCCTTCCACCCAAAACTGCAAACTGGATCACATGCTTTTCAAATTAAAATAGTATATAATAAATCATATTTGGTCATAGAGTCATCTATGTATGCAATGTTATAGGCATATAATGAAATAGAAAATATATACTGATAGAGTTTATCATTTGCTAAGATTTGAAACCTATGCAATTCTAGAAATTTAGATCCCATGTGAGACAAATGAAAAGACCATTATAAAGGCAAAGGACAATATCCAACTAAGAGAGTATTTTATTAATATCATGGACACATTAAATCTAGATGTGAAAATACAAAATAGGAATATTTTGGACCAGTATGATCTAATCTTAAATTCCTGATGAAATCTTATCAGGTTAGCTTGCCAACAGGGCAAACAAGAACAATATTCAACAAGTACTTATTGAGAACCTCCCTGTGCCAGTCACTAGGAGTATGACGATGAGGGAAAATGGATGTGGGGCTCACTGACCTGTGAAGGGGGCAGATGCTAACCACATAAACACACAAATGTACGACCCTTAGCTGGGGCCAGTGCTATGGAGGCAGGAGGCCCGTGGCCCACTGCATTGTGAGAGTGCAGTTCTGGGCCAGGACCGGGTCTAAGAGGACGGGGAAGGCAACCTAAGGATTAGGCAGCGAACTCTGGGCCAGGGGAGGCATTCCAGGCATGGCCCAGGTGGGAAGGAGCAGCAAGGGGTGGGGTGGGACAGGCAGGCCGGTGTAAGGTAGTGTCCAGCAAGCTGAAGGCTGTGGGGAGCCGCTGAACGCTTATAACCAGAGGGAGGTCAACGTGATCAGACTTTCATTTCGAGAAGGCCACCCTGGCTGCCATGTGCAGAAGGGGCTGGACAGAAGAGGGAACGTGCTGAGACTGATTTGGGGCCACTGCATGGTTTGGGCAGGCCCCTGAGGAGGCCCCCGGCCCGGTGTGGCCATGGCACTGACCAAAGAGAAAGGACACTAAGGAGGTTTCAGGGGCTCAAGTGGTGGTGGCCTGCATGCAGGGACTGAGAGAGACAGATGGTTGCTGACTCGCGGGACTGGGCTGAGAAACAGCCGAGGAGAGTTTTTATGCTTTCTCCTTTGCACTGTTTCTAGTTTTGTTTTTATATGTTAGGGCAAGGTTCGCCCACAGGTTCACTCTGGGACAGGATGCACACAGACGTCAAGTCCAGGAGCACCAAAGCAGGTATGTCCTCAGCCTGGGGTGGCTTGGGGAGGCTTTTAATTGTCTTTATGATACCTTAGGCACCATTTCAGACCAGGGTTCCCCTATCCTACTCAGATAATCTTAGATAACTTATTTCTACAACCGTGTCTGTGTTCTTTAATGCAGCTTTTCTCCTTCACATTACATCCAATAAGCATCTGGATGAGGAGAAAGGCTTTTTTGAGACCAAATGACTTCTATTTTGTATTCTATTTATAAGACCTATTTTTTTTATGGCAAGGACCAACACCCTGATTTTCTCCCTCTTCCATTCATTTTTATCAAAATAAAGCACGTCAACAACCGTGTGATCTGCTGCCGAAACAGAGCTTGGCACCCCCAGCAGGGGGGCCAGGGAGCACCACGCACAAGGCCAAGATCGGAATCTGTCAGGAGTATGGAAGCACAAATCCAGAGTGGCTGAGGTTTGGCCGGTGTGTCACCGGACCGTGCTGGCTGTTTGAAAGCAGGATTCTGGAGGTGGCAATCAAGTCAGTGGGGAAAGGTTGGCTTATTCAACAAGTGATGTTGGGCCAACTTGCTAAGTATCTGGAAGGAAGAAAAAAGTTAGATCCCTACCTCCATCCAAAATAAACTGAGGATTTAAATGTAAAAACTGAAACCTGAAGAAAATAAGAAAACACAGAGGCAAATATTTACTTAATATTGCGATGGGGGAGCCTGGACCTGATACCGAAGAATCAACTCATTTGAGTTCATAGAAATCATGTCGCTGGGAGACAGAGAGGCCTGATGTGTGGAGGCGTCGCATGGAAATGCCTCCTCTCCTCAGCGGTGATTCTCAACAAGGGCGCAACAGTATTTAGATCTTCCAGCCTTGGTTCTTCTCTCTCTCCTGCAAGGGCTTTTCTGAAAAGGGTCAGAACAAGCCTCCCAACTCTCTCTCTCCTTCCCCCAGTATGAAAGCCCTTAGATGGCTTCGATTCACAGGACTGAACGTTTCAAGATATTTTCAATTTTCAAATGCCACCAACTTCTCACGTTTGAGGAACAGAGACCTTAGAATGTTTTGAATCATTGGAAGAAGTCCTGAGGGGTTTTGTAAGTTCTACCTCCCAAACTTGTAATGTTAACAAGATCCTCACTCTCTTTTCTCGGTACCCTCGATTCTTCTGAGCAAGCTCCTCAACTCTGAGTCCTGCCCACCATCCCTTCTCTCCCTTGATCTCTGAACCAGTCCTGCTTCCTTCACCAGGCCCAGTGAGAGCAGTGGCAGGACTCCTGAGTCAAGGATTTAGAACTTCCTCTGTGAGCATCTGCTTCAGCTCTACCTCATACCCTCTTATCTACACTAGAAAGCTGAATGTTGAAGAAAAAGTGAAAACAAACATTCTCAGAATATTTCTAGATGAATTTGTACACAGTTTAAAAACAGGAATGTGGCTGAGCTGTAGCACTTAATAGACATTAATACAAAAAAAACCTTGGGTGGGAGGTTCCCCGTTCTGAAACGTTGCTAAAGGTGATGACCCTTGGCCTTCCCAAGCAAACATGCCGAGGGATGCCTGTTGCAGCCCTCCATCCGCCTTCCTCTCTCTCTCAGCCTTGGAGTCCCATCAGCTCCTCAGCTGGCACGACCCATCCCAGACAATCAGGTCTGTAGTGGACTGTGGCTTAGTTAGGACTCCTTCCCAGAGACCCTGCGGTTTTAAAGGCCTGGCCCATAGCCAGCCTCTCTTCCTCATGTTTGCTTCTGGCCTATGCCAAGCTTTTCCCTGAGATTTCATGGACTACACCCAGGCCAACCTCTCCCTCCAACAGGTGAAGAGAAGGAGCCAGATTCCCCCATGCAGAGGACCCCAGTGCTTTGAAGTAATTTTCCAACACCTCACCTAAAACCCAAAGTGCCTCATACCTACCATCTAAAAATGTAAAAACTATTTTCCTAGAAGCTAGGGTTGAATCTTGAATTCTGACACTTTGGAAGAAATTTGAACACAGATAATCTCTTCAATGGTATGATGTAAAATCTAACAACTCACTGCTACCTGTGAGTAAACCTGGCTACTCAGCCATAAAAAATATTAGCCTTTCCTGATAATATGGAAAGGTAAAATAGAAGATTCAATTTTGAAATCTTACTTACAGAACATTACAGCAGAAGCATTTTTTTTAACACTCGGGATGTAGATCTTACCATAAGGAGTTTCTATCAACACCATCATTCTTGAATAGCTC